ACATTGTTGGATTATTGAGCATGGACTTTGGTGTTTTGAACCACTTGGCATGGCTGTCTCAGAGGAGTTGACGGGGGAGAGGGTGGGCTCGGAGGCCATTTTAGCACCAGCAAATTTATTTTTTATTTTTTTCACTTTGGGGTGTGCTGTTTGTAGAAGTCAGTTTGTTGGTGTCTCCTCAGATCGAAGAAGTCCTTTGGATGAAGGACGAAACATCTCAGCAAAAAAAGAAACCGTCCAGACGACCTGACTGAACACTGTTGGATTATTGAGCATGAACTTCAATATTTTCCACTGTGACTAAAATGAATCACTGTTATTTGTTTTTTACGTTTATAACGATGAACTTTATCAGAGTTGTAATTTCTTCCTGACTTTTGCCAACTTTTGATTCGTCTCGTCCTTTCTCTTGATTCCTCCTACTTTCTGTCATCTTTTTCTCCTCTACATTCCCCTTTCACCGTTTTTCTGTCTGTCCCTCTTCGTTCCTCCTCTTCTCCTCTCTCGGCTCCCTTTGTGCCCGCAGTCGCCCGGTTGGTGTCCGTGTGTCGTTGCACTGTTTGTGCCTGAAAACAACAGCTGAATAAGCACACACTCGCACACGGGGATAACACGCACACGTCACACAGCTGCACAGTCAACAGCAGAAACCTGCTGTTGTCGAAGAGCGTTTAACTGCTGCGTACAATTTAAACATGTACATTTTTCTTTAAGGAAACTCAGGTGCATGCAGGGTTTTATACCTGCTGCTGTGGGTTTGCTTTACATTTTGTGCCCAAACTGGTTTCCGTTGACAAGGTGTGTTCCTATTGGTCCGTGTCCCACACTTAACAGCAATATCAAATTACAGAACAGAACGTGCTTGTATAGTTTGTGTATGTCAACGTGCAGTTTCTGTTAGCGCGTCCGTTTTCTTTTTGTTGGAGAAAAGTCCTTTGTGATGGAAAGTGTTGCTGCATGGCACAGCAGTTTAATTATGCAATGAAAAAAATGCTACTTTTCCAAACACTTGATGTAGAGTATAAACATTTTTTTATTCTCTGATTATTATTCTACAAGAAATACGTCAGATTAAAGGTATATTTCACATATTTTTCTGCAGGTAAGATTCTGACTGATCATGTGCACCCCACAAAAAGCAATAAAAAATCTGAGCTAGTCCCATAATAAGTGTTTTATTAGTTATTTTCAATAAATAGTTTGTTACGATGTGTAAGAATGGCTAATTTCACCGCTTGCTTTTTACCATAGTTTTGCTCTTTTGCGCCAATGAACATGACGTATTTGTGTATTTATTATTTTTTGGTATGAAGTCAGAGAGCTGTAAGGGCTTAAATAAAAACAACTGGGCTCCTTCTCCTGTTCTTTCAGTTCCTATCATGTGTTGGGAGATGGAGGCTTGTACATTCTTGTTAGAACAATGACAAAAACAAATGGAGGATGGAGGGTGGAATGGGACAAAATAAATAAACGCACAATAATTAAATGTATCATTTAATCATTCAAAACATCATTAAATCATTAAATATACAATTAATTAATTCAATTTCCCATGAAATAAATAAATGTACCTTTTAAATAATGACATTAAATAATGAAATGTCATTTTCAAGATTTTTTTTATTTTAAAAGTACATTTAATTATTTCACTGTGTATTTATTTCATTGCTCTCTTGTGATATGGAGGGCGGAATGTGACAAAATAAATACATAATAATTAAATGTATCATTTAATTATTCAGGACTTGCGACCCGTCCAGGGTGTACCCCGCCCCTCACACAGTGATTGCTGGACATGGGCACCAGCAACCCCCGTGACCCAAAATGGAATAAGCGGGTAAAGATAATGGATGGATGGATGGATTTAATTATTCAATACATTGATAAATCATTAAATATACAATTAAATGATTAAATACACAAGTAACTAATAAAAGGTAAGTTTATTTCATGTTAATTAATTGTGCATTTAATACTTGTATATTTAGGGATATATTGGATAGTTAAATGATGCATTTAATTATTATGCATTTATTTATTTAATTTAGTCACATTCCGCCCGCCATAGCTGAGGTCATGCGAGGCTCTGACCCACTCCATCCCTCCATCTTGTGAGTCGTTTGCGTCGTCGTCACTTGCTGAATGTTTTGCAGCGAGGCCAACATGTGAGTTGTTTTGATCATACATGTGAAGGAGTGAATGGTTGTGGGACTGCCTGGAGAGATGAGTCAGGGCTGCAAGAGACGTCTATGAAAGTTTGGTCCTGAGGTCCCCCCCCCCCGCCCGCTCCCGTTGGTTTATTTTGCGTTCAATGTACAAATGTGTTCCTTCACTCTTTCAAACCCTGTCCATCTAAAGTGTGAGCATTACTGTTCTCAGTGGTTTCCTTTGTCCTAGACGTGTAGATGAAGATGATCTGCTGACCCTTGACCCTGCACCAACACATCGTCACCAACATGTGCAGTCAGAGGGTGAGAAAATTGGTCCTAGAAACAAAAAGTATCACAGAAGCACTTTAAAGCCAAGCGTGTCGACATTTTACACTCAGCATATTGTATTTACAAGAAAACAAATTAATTCACCTCATTTACCTGCACCTGCAGCTTGTTCGAACTTCAGGCCAATCTCAAAACTCCCATTTCTTTCTAAAATCTTGGAGAAAATTGTTTTTAGTCAACTAACCAAGTTTTTGAATGTAAATGGAATTTTTAAGATTTTTCAGTCAGGATTCAAACACCTGCACAGCACCGAGACAGCTTTAGTAAGCGTCTGTAATGACATTCTGCTAGCGGATGACTCTGGTCAGTCTGTGATCCTGGTACTCCTCGACCTTACTGCTGCATTTGACACGGTTGATCACAGCATCCTTATGTCACGGCTAGAACACTGGGTTGGGATTACAGTGGTGGCGCTAGAATGGTTCCGTTTGTATCTGGGTGACAGGAGTTTCTGTATTAACTTTGACAATCATTTTTCTGCTTCTGTCCCTCTTTCCTGTGGGGTCCCACAAGGCTCCATTCTTGGACCCCTTCTGATCTCATTGTATCTGCTCCCCTTGGGGTCAATCCTGAAGAAACATGGTATTTCGTTTCACTGTTACGCCGATGATTCTCAGATTTATCTGCCTTTAAAACCAAACAGTTCCTGCTCCATCCACCCTTTGTTAAAATGTCTTGATGACATCAAGACTTGGATGGCTGCGAACTTCTTGAGTTTTAATGATCAGAAGACTGAGGTCATTGTGTTTAACCCAAGCTCTGCCACTGTCACTGATCCTGTAAACCTGGACTCCCTTCAGCCACATCTAAAGCAGTCGGTTACCAATCTCGGGGTAGTGTTAGTCTCGGACTTTAAGTTTAATAAACAGATCAACTCTGGTCTACAAAAAAGCTTCTTTCAGTTAAGGCAAATGGCAAAGCTTAAGTCCGTTCTGTCCAGATTCGACCTTGAAAAACTAGTCCATGCATCTATTACAACCCGGCTGGACTACTGTAACTCACTTCATGTTGGGGTTAGTCAGGCTTCACTCTCACATCTCCAGCTCGTACAAAATGCTGCAGCTCGGGTACTAACAGGAACTCGCAGGTTTGAGCACATTACTCCGGTTCTGTCCTCCCTTCACTGGCTTCCTGTACGTGTCAGAGTTGATTTTAAAATTCTCCTGCTGACATTCAAGTGCATTAAAGGCCTTGCACCATCATACCTCTCCGACCTTCTTCATCCGTATACTCCTTCTCGGGCTTTGAGATCATCAGACCAGCTGCTTTTGGCCGTACCAAAAACCAGCTGAAGCTCAGAGGAGATCGAGCGTTCTCAGTCGTGGGCCCTAAACTCTGGAACAATCTGCCCATCAACATTCGACAGGCCACCTCAGTCTCTGCTTTTAAATCTCTCCTAAAAACACATCTGTACTGACACATCTGTACTGACACATCTGTACTCATTGACATTTAACACAGGGTGATTGGATTTAGATCTAGTTCTTCGTTGATACTGATTCTGTTTATGCTTTTGTTATTATTCCTATTTAACACAAGGTCATCAGATCTGATTTAGTATTTCATTGTTTCTAATTATGTTTTCGGTTTTATATTTTTATTCCATGTGCTGTAAATATATCTTGCTACTTTTTATTTGATGTTGTGATATTTTTGTTAAGCACTTTGGTAACAGTTTCTGTTTTAAATGTGCTCTATAAATAAATCTGACGACTTGATTTAGAAGAAAATGTTCAGGGTTAACTACAACAAACTGGTTTGCAGTTGGTTTGTCACAACTTGATCCACAAAATGTCAGTTCGCTGCAAACGCAGTAAAATCTTTACAGTCTGTTCAAAGTCAAGCAGGCAAAGATGGAATGCCACCTCTGGGTTGGGAGGGAGCCTTTGCTTCGAGAAGATGAGTTTTAGTGTCTCGGGCTCTTATGAATGAGTGATGGTAGGTAGTGTTGATGGATTGTGGCCCAGTCTTCAGTAATGAGGGCTGCTCCACTCTGTCGTGGTGATGAAGGAGCTGAAAGGCAAAGCTCTTGATTTACTCTCCTACCTACATTTTAACTCTGATCTATGGCCATGAAGTCTGGATCATGACTGAAAGACCAAGATCCCAGTACAAGCAGCTAAAATCAACTTCCTCAAAAGGATGGCCAGGCTCGGTCTTAGAGATGAGGCGAGGATCATCCAGGGGAAACTCACTTCTTCTCAGCATCAAACGGAGTCAGTTAAGGTGGTTTGGACATCTGATAAGACGCTGCTTGGGCGGCTCCTTCTGGAGGTTTTCCAGGAACGTCCCACTGGGAGGAAATCCCAAGACAGACCTAGAAAATGCTGGAGGGATCATGTATCTTCTCTGGCTTTGGGATTCCCCAGTGGTAACTGGAGAGTGTCACTGGTCACAGGATTATCTGGGTTTCCCTTCTGAACCTGTTGCTTCTGTGACTGGAGCACAGATCAGCAAAATCCAGTGGATGAATGATTTATTCCATTTCACTGCAAACACGTAAAAAAAGCTTAGTTTCCATAATGGAGATCATAACTGTAGAAAACATGTTGAAATAAATATTTTATAAAGAATAACAATGGATGGGTTATCAGCTCTGTGAAGGCGTAAGCCCGTCACCTTGTTACTCTGAATTTCAAACCATGGATCGACTCGAAGCAGTGCCACTGCTCTGAAGACTCGCAGTGAGCTGAGCGAAAGAGAAATAAAAATGTAAGTTGAGTGGAAGAAATCAATTAACTATGTTGCAAGCGCCGTGCAGATGTTGCAACAGTTTAATCAGCACCAAGAAACAAGTGCAGAGTGAAGTGTGATAACTCTGTGACCCACTTTGTACAAAGTAAAACTTATTTATTTTAGTTATTTAGAAGAGAGAAGACAGAACTGTCTACGATTTGAATAAAAAAAAAAGGGTTAAAAACAAACTTCTGGTCGAGGTATTGTTTGTTTGTGTTTTTGTTGTTGTTTTTATTTGCTGTGCTCTCCAAGAACTTAATAAAGTTCTGTGCAGCCAAGTTGTTCTTGCAGAAATTTGACTTGTTCTTTTGCTGTTTACTTTCACAGATGATTCTTGCAAACGAGGCACGTGTAATAAAGTTTAATGACATGCCTTCTTCTTTAAAGAAACACAAATCAAGGCACCCCCCCCCCCCCCCACACACACACACACACAGGTTGGACTTGCAGTGCAGTCTCAGTTTCTACAGTGACATGGTTTGGAGGGCTGATGACTCTACAGCCCTGGTCCCACTAAAGGAATGTCAGCTATGTGGCCTAATGGGGCCACATGAGGCTTAACAGTCCGGTGGTACAGCCATGTAGAAGAGACGAAAACTGCTCTCTAAAATGTCTGAACTATAGTACTGGGATGTGTACTTTCACATCATCTTACTGGTTTGTCTTTAGAGTGGAGTTCATGTAAAATCGTCAGGTTGACAAGATGATGAGGGAAGGATTAACCAAAAAAAAAAAAAAAAGTTCGGTAATACAGATGTGGATTTGTTTGTACACTTCCCGCTCACTGAAACAATGCTTTATAGCTTGTAAAAAAATATTAATTTAAAAGAAAGTATCCCATGTTTATCTGCATGTTTTTAGTATATGATAGAGGAAACAAAAATAGTCAAATTATTTTGTAAAGATATTCTAAAATATAACAGGCGGATTTTGTTGGTTTTCTAATAGAAACTGATAATATTTGTATTATAGTCGTGTTTACTGAGAGTTTGACCAACGTTGTTAAGATGTTTAAGGTTCGTGGAACTGCAGCCAGCCTCCCAGAACATGGACGCAACTGGACATGCGACCCCTGGTTGATTAGATTGATGGTGCAGATGGTAGAAAAACAGCCAATTAAAACATCCAAAACCTTTCAAACCAAACTCCGGGGTCAAGATACGTCACTTTTTGAGTTATAATGAGCTCCATGGAGGGAGGCCCAGGAGGACTCCACTACACAAACAAACAAACAAACAAACAAACAGGAATTCTTCAAAATGCATGTTAAGCCCAACATTTAAGGAGAAGTTTCTGGACCTGATGAGCCAAAACAGACGTTTTTTTTTGCCTCCAGTCACATCAGTTGTGTTTTTGTGATTTGTAGTTGAAGGGCACCAACACGCCTGTAGATGGACGATCATCTCGTACATGAACATGAAGTCAGTTTGTCTGTTGGATCAGTCGTGTCAGAAACTCTGTCAGGCGGTTGTTTCTGCCTGCTACAACAAATATTTCAGTCTGATATGAGTTTTAATAAACAGTTCATCACTGAGCTGTTCTCACTGAACAATGATGACTTCTGTTATTTAATGTCTTGATGTCTGATGGATGTTTTTTGTGCCTACTGACCGTGAAACATATTGCCCCTTGGGGATAGTAAAGATTCTTGAACTTGAACAGAGTAACTTTTCAGTTGCTGTAATCACTTTATTTGATGCTGTGGTTTAACTTCTGAAAGTTAAAATTAACAACCTCTAAGCCCTGAAACGCATCTGATTAGTTTTGCTCCTTACTTTCACGTCTTTCTTCGTCTGTAGCAGAAAAGGCTCCGGTGGCTGATGCTGAGGAGGTGCAGAAGGCGGACGTCTCCTCCACGGGGCAGGGCGTCATCGATAAAGACACGCTTGGCCCGATGATGTTGGAGGTAGGTTGAACCAAACTTTGTTCTTAAAATATATCCATGATAATGCAGACAGTGTGATATTATTGATTGTCTGCTTTGTTTTTTTTCTCATCTGTGAGCACCACTTTTAAATCATCTCCTTTAACTTGTGGTGAACCGCAAGGATCTATGTTAGGGCAACTCAGAACTTGTCCATTAGTGATATTATAATATATTCTATTATATTATAAATTAATATAATTAGATTTATATATTTATTTATTTATTATATATTATACTATTATTATTTATATTATATACATTTATATTCAGATCTCTCTTGTAAATGAGTCCCCGAGGCTCAATGGGACTAACCTGTATACATAAAGGTTGAAAAAATAATTTCAATAAATATTTACAAAATTAACCACAAAATTACCTTTGAGCCATTACCACACATAAAGCAAGGACATGTTTGATTTAATAAAATCTGTTTCTACTTCAGTCCAGTCTAGTTAAAATTCAGTTGATAATCCATAATCCAATTCATTCTAATTAACCTTTATAGACTCCAGTTCATTCCCATTTCTGTGTTATTAAGTACACTGCAGTTCATTCTGTTTCAATTAAATCCTATAATCACCTTGTTTGATCCCAGAATGCAAATAAATGTTATTCACGTAAACGCCTAGTAAACCAACATATCATATAATCTGCATTAAATTCTCCGTTATCCATTTAAATTGGGCTTTACTTTCATTTGAATTATTTCTCAGTAATCTCTGTTTAATGTTTTTATCGGATCTGCAGGTTTAATTTTCTTCTATACTTGATACATGTGAACTTTGACATTTTTACAGCTTTTACAATTCAGGGAACATTGGTAAAAGTTGTAAGTCACTAATGCTTTATTTAAAAAAAAACATATCCATGGACTTAATTTTCTTTAAAAAGCTTTAAATGGCACAATCACAGCAGTTCAATTGGACAAAATGCAGTTGTCGACAGTAGAAATAACCCCAGGGAGGCTGCCAGTCTTCTCTTTGGTCACCTAAGAGAACCTTTGGAGCGTCTTTCGGACTAAAACGGGCGTTGAGCTCCACGTGACTCGCAGAGATAAGACTTCCTCCGACTTGGGCCTGCTCGACTTTCTGCGTGTGCACAAGTGTGAGGCGACGTTTACCACGAGACCCAGGGAGGTGTAAATACCTTTGGGAAAAGCCAGATTAGAAAAGGAGTTGCGGAGCTTCACATACACACAAAGACTATATATAGCATTCAGCAGCAGCAGCGTTGGCTGAAGCGTCTGCTTAAAGTCTAAAAGATTAACATCAGTGTAGCCAAGACTATTTCCATTCTATGCAAATCCACCGCAGTGCGGTGAAGGGCCTGTGTGAACAAGGAGGGTTAACGAACAAACCTGTTTGCATGTTTGCGTTAATAAAAAAAGAAGTTGGACTGAGAGGAGCCAAACACTGAAGAACGTGCACGCAGAGACTGAAGCAGGTTAATGAGCTAAAATAGTTCCCGTTGGACGTTAAAGTTTTATCTTCTCTAAAATTAACATATCGACACTTTTTAACTTTGTCAACCCTAGATTTATTTTTTCAAAAGAAGAGTGTTTTGCTCCTGCAATAGCGTTCCGTATTTTCTGGAGTAAAAGTCGCATCAGTCACAAAAAGCATCACGAAGACGGGAAAAACATGTAGAAGTCGCTTTGACTTATAAGTCACATTTATTATGCATTTATTTAACGGTCAGAACAGCTTCATTTCTCCTGGGTGGCACGGCACCATCCATCGATCCATCCGTCCGTCCATCCATCCATCCATCCATCCATCACGACCAAAGCTGCAAGCTCTCCAGCGTTCCTCCTCCTGCACCAGCTGAGTGAAGCGAGCGTGCACGGGAAGACTCGCTGTTGCAGTTCTTGGACATTTAAAGCGTCTGTGAAAAATTGCATTATGAATATGGAAAAGAAAATGTATGTAAGTCGCAGGACTGACAAATCTATCCAAAAAAAAACTGTGACTTATACGCCGGAAATTACGGTATTTATGATTGTGCTTTGATATTTATCTTCGTTAGTTTTACACAGTTTACAGAAGGAGGGATTGTGGGTATTTAAGAAACGCAGTCAGGCTTCTGCAAAGCAGCTGCTCTGGACAAGCTGAATTATTTTTGATTGCTTTCTATCAAAAAGCAGAAATGTGTCTGCCTTCATATTTGTCTTTAATTGCAGGGTGGAAAAAAAAAACTGAACCAAGAGCAGTTTATATTTCTGTAATTAAAAAGGAAATAAATGAATGAAACGCTTTCAGAACCACCTCGGTTTGGAGAGTCAAACGAATGCTCTGTCAGATTAGGGCCTGTTAAAGGAGAAGCCATTTTAACCATGTTCTATAAAACCACTCAAACTATTCTTTTAAATTAACGAAACTAAACTCAAACTTCCCGTCTGCCTTGTTGCGTTTCCCTCTAACTCTGTCACTTGTCCTCTCCGTCCTCGCCGTCTGTGCCCCCTCAGGCCCTGGACGGCTTCTTCTTTGTTGTCAACATGGAGGGCAACATAGTGTTTGTGTCGGAGAACGTCAGCCAGTATTTGCACTACCAGCAGGAGGAGCTGATGAACACCAGCGTCTACAGCGTGCTGCATGTCGGGGATCACAATGAATTCATCAAGAACCTTCTGCCCAAGAGCCTGGGTGAGACGACTTTTGTTACCACGGTGACGATTTTTACCAACAACGGTAAAACCCACTTTCGATGAGTTTCTAAATAACTTCTTAAAAACGAACTAGCCAGAGTGCTGCTTTCTTATTAAAAGGAACAATGCAAATGGCTCTATTGCCCGGATAAATAGGTTTTTAGGTTATCATGCCACCTCAGTTAATTTGATCTAAAAAGTGTAAAAGCAGGAGAGCCATTCAAAAAGGAAAATTATTTTTTCATGTCATGATTAATATGATTAATAGTTTGTAAACCCCTCAGGGCTTCCTATATATATGCGTAATTATGTTTTGTTGTGCGTTTTTCTTGTAACTTTTTGGTGCTGATGCTGTTTTGGATTTTGCCAACATGTGAAACAATTTGTTTTAACATTGTTCAACAGTATTTTTATTATTTTATAAACGCATGGGAACATTTAGCCCTGTTAACACATGTGCAGCAGCGTTAAAAGTTTAGCTGCAGTTACAGCTGCACAACCATAAAGTGAAATCAAATGTCGGCGTACTTTTTCCACTCACAAACATGTTCAAGTTTTTAAACTTGGTTCTTTTCATTACTCAGTCAAGTAAAATGTCAAACCACCTCCTTTTATTATCATTAGTGTTTTTGCAGTGCATCAAATGGCAGTAATATTTTTATCCCCTAAAGACCAGAGGTGATCATCCATCCATCCATTTTCTTCCGCTTATCCGGGGTCGGGTCGCGGGGGTAGCAGCCTAAGTAGGGAGGCCCAGACTTCCCTCTCCCCAGCCACTTGGTCCAGCTCTTCCGGGGGAATCCCGAGGCGTTCCCAGGCCAGCCGAGAAACGTAGTCCCTCCAGCGTGTCCTGGGTCTTCCTCTGGGCCTCCTTCCGGTGGGACGTGTCCGGAACACCTCACCAGGGAGGCGTCCAGAAGGCATCCTAACCAGATGCCCAAGCCACCTCAACTGGCTCCTCTCAACGTGGAGAAGCAGCGGCTCTACTCTGAGTCCCTCCCGGATGATCGAGCTTCTCACCCTGTCTCTAAGGGAGAGCCCAGACACCCTACGGAGAAAACTCACTTCGGCCGCTTGTATCCGAGATCTCATTTTTTCGGTCACAACCCAAAGCTCGTGACCATAGATGAGGGTGGGAACGTAGATCGATCGGTAAATTGAGAGCTTCGCCTTTTGACTCAGCTCTCTCTTCACCACGACAGACCGGTACAGCGCCCGCTTCACTGCAGACGCTGCACCTATCCGCCTATCGATCTCACGCTCCATTTTTCCCTCATTCGTGAACAAGACCCCGAGATAAACTGGTTCCAGAGCCCGAGTCATGCGTAGAGGTGAGTCCGACTATTTCTAGCCGGAACCTCTCAGCCTCACACACCAGCTCAGGCTCCTTCCCCACCAGTGAGGTGACATTCCACGTCCCAATAGCCAGCTTCTGTAGCCGAGGATCAGACCGCCAGGGTCCCCGCCCTCGGCCACCACCCATCCCACATTGCACCCGACCCCTTTGGCCCCTCCCACAGGTGGTGAGCCCATGGGAAGGGGGACCCACGTCTCCTCTTCGGGCTGTGCCCGGCCGAGCTCCATGGGTAAAAGCCCGGCCACCAGAGGTGATAATGTTCTTGTCCAAACATCTCTTGGTTTCTTTGTAACGTAAAACATTTCATGATCCAGTGGAAGGGTTTTAAAGAAACTCTCCATAAGTAGTGACTGGATGGATTTCTACAACGGATTTGCTTTGAGTCAACCCAAATCAAAATGGCTGCCACTGCTTGTCAACCTTAACAAACACAAAAATGGATGTAACTGTCACAGACATTGATCTAAAATGTGGCGTGGTAGGAGCTGAACGTCATCCCCAACACGCACCCCGAGCTTGTGCAGAACTTAATTTATCTGGTTGATCAAAACTTGTGTAATCTTCTTGGCATAAGCCGAAATCTTTCATGCAAAAGGTGATGGGCGATATGCATTCCTTCAAGGAACTCTTTTTGCTGTTTGTCTTCCAGTCAATCATCGGAGCGCTGATTCGTCCAACAGGAACAGCCACACTTTTCACTGCCGTATGTTGGTGAACCCTCGCGCCGACGGTGAAGCTCAGCTGGCCCCTGAGCAGCCGGACGCTGCGCAGCAGAAGTATGAGACCATGCAGTGCTTTGCCGTCTCTGAACCCAAGTCCATCAAGGAAGAGGGGGAAGGTAAGCTTTTTGCTCGACGTCTTTCCGTCTTTTGATTCATTTTAACTTGCCTTCCTTTGCCTTTTACATTTGGTCCAAATGTATTTATAATTTATCTTTCTCCATTTAATAAACCTTTCCACGGTTTTGCTTTTTCACTCCTTCGTAGAGTTATTTTTCTGTAAAATTCTCCTTCTTTGCAGTTTGTTCTTGACTTCCTGTCATTTTCCCATCAATCTTCCCGGCCCTGCCCTCCAAGTCTCTCGTGTCCTGTCCTCCTTCCGTCACCACTTCTCTCTGCAGTCCCTCCCATCCACTGAGAGAGACTAATTAGTGTGTGGCACTTTGTCAGATTCCCATCTAATCAAATCTCTCTCACACACACACGTATGCATGCATGCACGCACACACAAAGGGAGAAGAATGTGTCTGCCACTCTAATTTTAGACCGCTGACAACCAGATATTGTGCCAATCTCATCCCCGACATGAGGAGAATATCTGGTGGACAGATTGAGGGCTGCAGGTTGAAGCTGAGTTGAGTTCAGATTTTGTTGGTGTGGAGAATTATGGGAAGCTAGTTGTAAATGTGAGAATATAAGTTCAGTTGCTGCATCATAAAAATGACCTGGCAGAGCAATCAAGGTCTCATCTGAGGTCAAATGCACCTGGTACGTTTTCACAAGTCATGGAATTCCAGTATAATTATTCTGCACAAAAATGAGGTAAACACTGAAGCTATAACAAGTTCAGTTCAATTCAGTTTATTTATAAAGCGCCAACAGAAGTCGTCTCAGGGCACTGAACAGAAACATTCATATATAAAATAATAATTGAACATTATTTATCTGAGGAGCAGCTTTGAGTTTAACTCCACAGAACTCGCATCTTGAGCAAGCATGAAGGCGACAGTGGAAAGGAAAAACTCCTTCATGAGGAAGAAACCTTTAGCAGAACCAGGTTCAGGACAAGAGGACCATCTGCTTCGACCGGCTGAGTTCGTTAGGAACAGATACACAATGGCAGGTCAAGAATCGCATGTTAAGATAGAAATAGTATCAAATGAAAACGATTAAATTTTAACAATTCATTTAAGGAAATGAGGTCAACTTGTCCTCTAGTAGTCTAAGCTGAAGACAGCATGACAAGCCTACCCCAACTATAGGATTTATCAAAAAGGAAAGTCTTAATCCCAGTCTTTAAACTGGACAATGTGTCAGCCTCACGGACACAAACTGGAAGTTTGTTCCACAAGAGAGGAGCCTGAGAACTGAAAGATCTTCCTCCCATTCTGCTTTTGGAAACTCTAGGAACCGTGAGTAAACCTGCAGTCTGAGAGCGAAGCGCTCCGTTAGGAAAATATGGAACATTAAGATCAATAAGATGGATCTAGGTTGTTGAGAGCTTTGTAGGTTAAAAGCAAGATTTTGAATTAAATTCTGGATTTGACCGGGAGCCAATGGAGAGAAACTAAAACTGGAGAGATATGATCTCTCCTACTAACTCCGGTTAAGACTCTGGCAGAAGAGAAACGAGGCCACCCAAGAAAAGAGAGGGATCCCACCTAAAACCACTCACCAAAATGGGGAAACCAAATCCAGTGTTGCTGTGCAGTAAATTACACCCATGCATCCTTGGATTCATTGTTTGCCTTTCTGCGTGTAGACGCTCTACTGTATGTATTTATAAAGCATTGCTGTATTTTTTTTTTATCCGGCATGCAGACTTCCAGTCCTGTCTCATATGTGTGGCAAGAAGAATTCCTGTCAAAGAAAGGCCTGTGATGCCGGCGTATGAGAGCTTCACCACGCGGCAGGACCTTCAAGGTAGGTCTGGTGGAAGAGTCTCTGCTGTCTTCAGGAAGATGCTGGATCGGGCTATTAGTTTACATACATACCATTAAGATTTTCTCTTTAAAACTCTTTGAAAATGTCAAAATTATACTAATAAAATTATATTGTTATAAAGTTAACTCATTTCAGCAAACTAAGATTAATGCTTCAAGGAACAAGGATGGCAAACACCAACTGTAGAACTGCAGCAAAAACCAGAAAACCCATTTAAAAAAAAGAAACGGCCTTGAAACGACTTCAAAACAGCTCAACTAAATATCACAAACTGACTCGTCTTTAAAGTTAGTCAAGCTTATGTTGTTTATAAATCAGTTTAGTTATTTATAGTAGGGGCCCCGATGGCCTTAATTTTTGGTGACTGGCGATCGGCCGATACTTACATGAGAAAACGGTTTTACCGATTTGTTTTTTTGTGTAGTTTTAACAACAATTGTCTGAACTTCTTTTATATTTCAGAGCACGACCTCATGGCCAGTTAAAACAAGTTTGTATTGTTTCTAGGATATTGTTCAATGGTATGTTTTCAATAAAGTAAGACTGGAAAATTGAAGGTGCATTGGGACCTTATAACACCTGACGGTGTCGCTTATAAAACAAAATCGGTATCGGCCAAAATCAGAACCTGCAGGTCAGACTTTTTAGAAATCTGTGATCGGCCAGAAAACTGCAATCGGTGCACCCCTAATTTATAGGTCTTTGTAGTAACAGTTTAATGTAAAAAAATGTTTACTCACATAATCAAGATATTGGTCAGAAATTTGTAACGCATAACAACATTTTAGTCTCTTACACTGGAGTGTAATAAGGCAGCAGGTATTTATTGTTTTAGATGTTAAGAACTTGAGCTGGTTGCACAAAGTTGGTGCTTCTCGCGGTGGCCATTCTTGAATTCTGTATGTCCAGGTAAGATCACTTCATTGGACACCAGTGTGCTGAGGGCATCTATGAAGCCAGGTTGGGAAGACCTGGTTCGGCGCTGCATCCAGAAGTTCCACCTGCAGAGTGACGGGGATATGTCCTTTGCCAAGAAACACCATCAAGAAGGTTCACAAAAAACTTTCTGACATTTTCTATTTGTTAAACAAAATGCTGTTGTATAATTTACAGATCATGGGTATAAATGTCACTTTCTTTGTGTTCTTCAGCTTGTTCCATTTTACATTAAAAACTGTTAAATTTAAAAGATAGGTCTTTTGAATTTCAACAGTTTTGTGATTTAAGGCTTTATAATTTGATGATGCTTGCAGAAAGTTTTTTTTTTTCTTCTTTTAAATAAGTGAAATTTCACTTTGTGTTTCATCCAGTGTTGAAGAACGGTCACGCACTTAGCCCTCTTTACCGATTCTCCCTGGCAGATGGCACCATCGTCTCCGCTCACACAAAGAGCAAGCTGGTCCGATCTCCAGCTACCAATGAACCTCAGCTCTATATGTCCCTGCACATCCTGCAGAGGTACCACTTTTTCCTTACTCGCATCAATACTCCACAGATATTTAAATGAGTCCAAAGGGCCTGGAGCAGTCATGTTATCAAGATCTGCCACCAACCTGGAAACACCACTATCAGCAAGTTGTCTGTTATTCCCCCCCACATCAGGGACATGTGACCCAGCATCCATCTGCTGTTAGAAACATTCAGGGACAGGATTTATTCTGCAGTTAAAACTGAATTTCATGGGGTCAACAATAAAAATATGACATTTTACTTCCACAAGCTTTATTTTCAAAATTATCATCCGGTCTTTAGCACAATGAGAGTTTTGTAAAGTTGTGTTTGATATGTGGTTAAACGTTTCAGACGCTGTGGGGCCTCAAAACAACTTTGGCTTCACACTTCTGTGTCTTTTTGTGTCTTCCCTGTTTTGTGGTTCCATTTCACCAGTTCCAGTTACGCTTAACATCTGCCAATAATCCTTGTTTCTTTCAGGGAAAATACTGGAGGCCTGACTGCAGACATGTCTGGTGGCCAGGATGTGGGGAAGTCAATGACCCCAACCAGTGTGAGTGGAACCTTCCCCTCACCTGATGCCAGTGTCACCAGCAACACCCATCACTCCACATCAGCCCCCAGCACCCCGGGACGTGGCTTTGGGACTGTACCAGGACGAGCCACCACTCCTCAGGGAAACTGCCATGCTCTGAAGCTGGACAGCCCTTCAGCCCAAGGAAGTCCAAGTGTCACCTCAGGGGCCCAGAATGCCATGTTGTCACCATGCCATCGCCAGAGTCCTAGCACGGCGGCTAGCAGTAGCACTTCTAGTAGCCCTCACCTCCTCCAACGTCCAGCTGGTTCTTTCTCTCCTGCAGCTGGATTTCTATCGCAGTCTGTGTGCAGCAGCACAGGAACTAGCCAAGGGTTTAACTCTCTTTGTGCACTGCAAGCTCTCAGCCAGGGTCACAGGATTTCTCCAGGGCTCACTGAGGGACAGCGTTCAGAGTCGCCTGACCGAAAACTACCAGCTCTCCAGAGTCCCCTACACAGTACAAACACTGGTACAGCACAACTTTCCAAGAGCAATCCCAGTTTAGAGGCAGATTTATTTGGACCTTTTGAAGAGCAGGAGGATTTTTTGTCGCCTCATACCCAGGTTGGTGAACAGGACGAGGAGAAAGATGGTGATCTTGACTCCTTGGGAGGTAATGGAAACCTTGGAGAGCTTGGTGATGCATCAAACCGCCATCTTAACAACAAAGGCCACACCAAGTTGCTCCAGCTCCTCACCACCAAGTTAGAACCCTCTCCCAGCTCACCATCAGGGTCTGTGGGGGACGACCAGAACTGTAAGGACCAACTGTGCAGTGTGTCAGGGGCAGGACTTAACAACCAGTCCACTTCATTAAAGGAAAAGCATAAAATTCTCCACAGACTGTTGCAGAACAGCACTTCACCTGTGGAGTTGGCCAAGCTAACCGCTGAGGCTACTGGAAAAGACCCCATTGGTTCAGAGTCTGCGTCTGGGGAGACCATGGCTGTTCTGAGTGAACTCTGCATAAAACAAGAGCCAGAGAGCCCCAAGAAGAAGGACAACGCACTGCTTCGCTACCTCTTGGACAGGGATGATAATAGTATTCTTGATAAAGCCATCAAGATGGAACCAGTTGATGGACTGAAACTGTCCAACATTAAGACGGAGAAGCCAGAAGCAGGTTTTACTTTGGCTGATCAGGTAAGAATTTCTTCAAGTCCTCAAAATTAACTCATTTTAAATGAACCTTTGTCTATTTTACACTTTCAGACCCATAACTCTAAAAAAGTGATCGTATCCTAAAGTGCACAATCAGGTAGCATTTATAAAGCAGTGAAAAAGAACACTATTCCAACTTCTCCCACCCATCAGGTACTAAAATGAATTCAATATAAACTAGATGAACAAGACACTATGTCTTTTTATTTTCCAAAGCTAAGCCAAGAAGCAGAAAGGACGTGTTCAAACTAATTACACCCCAGAGACGTTGTTAGGATTTTGGAACATCAGCCCAGCTCAGACAGTTAAAAAAATTTTATACAACCGTTGCATCATTTAAAATATTGTTTAAAAAGATTTAACACCAATTTGCATGTGTTGTTTAATTATTTTACCAATTAGTTTTGAAACCATCAAAAAATCGTTCTTGGTCAACTTTGGTGTCCTTTTATTAAGAGTCAAAGTAAAAGACAAAGGAAGCTTGACACTGATCGTCAAGATAAATGTGAAACTGTATCCTGCAAACCTTTAATGTTTTTTATTCACTCAGATATTTTACTTTGTGCTCCTCTTCTTTGTTAAGGCTTGTAATGGAGCTATTAGACAATTAATCTGTTTTTCTCTGCTTTGAGCGTTGTGTAAGTCAAACTGTATTATCTTTGTTGTTGTTAACTACGGTAGTTTTTGTACTGATAAATTTATTTTAGTTACGGTAGTCCCTCGCCACTTTGCGGTTTGTTTATTGCGGACTCGCTCTGTCGCGGTTTTTCAAAATAAGACTGGACATGACACACAATTGCTGATTGATGGATGAGCCGCATGATCGGCATGGATTTTTAATTTAAAATAAATTATGTAAAATTATTTAGCACCTTTGTGCAGCCCGTACTGCAGGATAAACTTCCTGCTGCAGCTGATCAACTGATCTCCGTGCAGCGTGGAGAAGTGGGCGTGGCCAAGAATGCTTGCAGGTGGCAAAGAGCAGAGGAGGCAGGGAGCTGAAATCATGACATTCTGTGCTCCTTTAGAGCGTTTAGAGTTTAGAAACGTTTAGAATATTGGAGTGTGGGAAGGTTCAAAACACCTTAATATATAAATATATATAAATACTAAATAAACTACTAATTACTACTTGTACTACTATTCCTACTTTGTGGTTTTTCACTTATCGCGGGTCTTCAGGGTACGGATCTACTGCGATAAACGAGGGACTACTGTATTTGTTCTTCATAACCCACTCTTTTTTTTAAATGTTGCTTCGGTTTGTGTAATTTTTGTGGCTTTCAGTCAAAACCTGGTCTCTTATACACGTTTGTTCTTTTCTTTTTGATTTGATACTATGTTCGGGACCATTGCAGTGATTCATGATCCAGTTTAAGTTGCTGCTGTTGGACCAATAGTTGTATCTGACTCTAAATTGATTTTGTAAAAAGACAAGGTGACATTTGACAACACTGTCCCCTTGTCCTGAGGCTGCAAAACAAGCCCAGATCATCACTGCTCCACCTCCGTGCTTGGCTGTTGGTTTGAGAGGTTTTGCGCCGATACGCTGTGTTTGTGTTTTGTGGAACGTAACACAGCAGTGTTTGTTTACAAATATGTTTTTATTAAATCAGTTCTGTGTGTATTTTTCTTAACGTGAATCAAATGTAAACTGACAGGTCAGTTTGGACGCATCAAGTCTTAACAAATCGATGGAGTTTCAGCAAGAAACGTTTTTAAAGCAGGAAGTTGTGTTTAAATCCACTGACATGGGTTGAATGTATTTGTTTTATTGTTGTAGTAACTTTAAAAATCGCCTTGTGTTTGTGGCCGTTCAGTCCTCAGATTTCTGTGCGAGCGTGTGTGTGTGTGTGTGGGTGTGTGTCCTACTGTACATCACGTATGACCTCATTAGTTCAGACATTTTATTTTTAGCTCCTCCTCTATTCATCAAGCAAACGCCGTAGGAAACGATCTCTGCCTGCTCTCTTTCTGTGTGTGGGGGGTGGAGGGGGGGCGTAAGTTAACTACATAGCAACACATAGTTCCCACACGTCTCGTCCTGAAGTGGAAACGCCACTTTTCCGCCATCATAGTAGGCCATCACTAGAAAACGACGATCGCTATGATTTTCAGATAAACCTAAACAAAGTGCGTTGATGCTCGACGTGCAACAGAAAGATCCAGAAATCGCTGCAGAGACGACGCAGACAAGTTGCCTCCGCTCATCATGACATCGTTGGTTATTGAACACGATGAGCGCCTACATGATGGAGGAGCTTCACGGTCTGAAATCCATGGACATGTACGATCAGTGTTTTAAAGTTTTTGTGAAGGACGTCTGAACTGAGAGCTGCCTGGTTACATAAAGGTTTAAATTCATAAACAAAATGTATTAACATGACCTCACAGAATGACCAACTCAGGGCTAGAACCCAGAACATTCATGCTATGAGGCAACAGTCCTAATAACCACTAAGCCATCGTGATGCCTATAACTCATAAACACTGATGACTAGAATATTTTTATGACATTCTGAGGCGTGCCAATTAAACTAATGCTTAAAATTACAACATGGGTTTCTCTGTGGGCAGAGCGAGCGTTTACAGTGTGGAGGTTTAGCACATAGCGTAGCTGAGCCAACTACAGTGGAGACGTTTTCAGTCATGAACAGAGGATTTCCAGCACACATTTATAATCTGACAATGTTTAACAAAATCATTTAATGCAGACATTTTTGTTTACGGGATAAAAGTGATCGGAGCTGATTCTAGGCGTTTTTGAAGGCTGGTCCTTGTGGTCGATGTTCTGCACTCGGCTCCGTTTGAGGTGCTTCGCATTTCCACATTTTTGGGAAGTAGTAAAAACTGAACTTTGCCGAATCATCCACCTGGTTGGAACATCCTCAACATGAAACAGCCATTGTAGTGCACGTAAAAAATGCTCCTCGGTGGTCAACCTTTCTCGCTCGTGACTGGAGCTGTTGGAGACAAAGTGCCCAGATGTGTCGCATGAGAACTACTGTATGTATACTGAGGGTTTCCATTACTGTCAACGTTGTTGTCAGTCTAGTATCATAACTTTTCAGTTTTATTTTTTTTAAAGACCCTTTTTTAATTATCTTATAAGGCTCTGATGGCAATGATCACCATACTCCCTTTTGTTGAGTTGAAAACTTGAAGGTGTGTTCAAAACTGTTATTTTTTTATTAAAAGTATATAATTCCTGTCAACTTCTGCGCAATGAGTGCATCGTTACACAGTATAACTTTTAGAAAAGAGGCAAATGTTTCGTTATTAATATTTATTTGAAACACCTGAAACTAAATTCACACGAGATCATTTCTGTTTGTATCTTTCATCATACATTTGCCTGATTTCTGTTTCGTAAGACGGAATATAATTTAAACCATGTAAACAAACTGATAGTGTCAGTGAGTGATCATGTAAAGTGGTTTTGATCCGAACACTTGAAAAAGAAACAAAGACATGTGAAAATAGGATTCAATAATTCAAAGTGTCTCTGTGTACAACTGGAAACACGTTTCCCTGAGCAATGAGTTTCTTACTTTGCTGTCCACAACGAATGAGAAAGAAAAATATTTACAAATGAGACGAATCCAAAAGTACCAACAAGGTAAAATGTTCAATATGTATTATCAATTAAGAGAAAATGTATAAATGTGCAAAGAGGTTAAGCTGAGTGACAGGAACATTCAGTTATTTATGAGTCTGATGGTGTTTGGAACGAAGGAGTTCTTGAATCTGGAGGTGCCTTTCACTCTGTGTCTCTGGCCCGAGGGTAGAAGTGTGAATACTCCATGTTGGGGGTGAGCGCGGTCCTTAAGGATGGAGGCAGCCTTCCTGTGGACTCTGCAGCGGTAGATGTTCTACAGACAGGGCAGTGGAGTCCGGGTGATCTTCTCAGTTGTCTTCACCACTCTCTGCAGGCTGTAGTGCTGCTGTACCAGCTGTGATGCAGCTGCTTAAGATGCTCTCAACCGCACAGCTGTAAACGTTGCTGAAGAACTTAGGTGGCATGTCAAACTTCCTCAGTCTTTAAGGAAGAAAAGCTGCTGTTGAGTCTTCTTAACCAGCTGTGTGGTGTCCACAGTCCAGGTGAGATCCTCGCTGGTGGGACGCCCAGGTATTACCTTCTCTACCGCACGCTCTCGGATGAACAACAGTTGATGAGGTCTCCTCTCCTTCCTTGTGTCCACTATCAGCTCCTTTGTTTTGTCGGTGTTGAGGGTGAGGTTTTTGTCCTCACACCATGACTCCAGGTTGGCCACCTCCCTCCTATAAGCTGCTTCATCCCCCCAGTGATACGTCCTTTGTGGTGCAAGTATTCCCCTGTTCACCCACAGGGTGTAGAGGATGGGGCCGAAAACACATCCCTGTGGTGTTCCAGTGTTTCTAATGATCCTGGCTGAAATTTTGTTGCCAATCCTGACTGACTGGGATCTGCCAATCAAGAAGTGTAGGAGCCAGTCACAGAGGGTGGGGTGTAGGCCAAGTGTGGATAGTTTGTGGGTGAGTTTCTGGGGTTTGTTCGCATTGGAGGTGGAACTGTAGTCCACAAATAGCATCTTGATGTAGGAGACTTTATTCTCCAGGTGTGAAAGGGGTAGTGGAGGGCAGCGGCTGTGGCAGTGGAGGTTGACCTGTTGAACCAACTGGCATACTGCTGAGGATCCAGTGTCTAGTATGGTCCTCTGGATGTGGACCAGCGTCTCTCACAACTCTTCATAATGATTGGAGTTCTCCTGGCCTGGAACCATTGAGGCAGGTGGGTGGGATGTTCTCGAGGGCGGGGACAATAGTTGTGGTCTTGAAGCAGGAGGGGACAGTGCTCTGGCTGAGGGACAGTTCGTAGATGAAGGTGAGAACATCAGCGAACTCGTTAGCACATGCTCTAAGAGCCCGTCCAGGAACGTTGTCCGGTCCTGTTGCCTTGTGGGGGTCGATCTTCCTCAGAGCTTTGTGTACCTGGGTTGATGAGACTGTTATGGGAGAGGTGGTGTGTGTGTGTCCTCTGTGTTGTATCAGTCTTCAAAGCAGGTGCAAATAAAATTTCTATTGTAAACATCAGTGAAATTTGTACATTTTTAGTTTTTCACTGACAAGTTGAAGACGACTAACTTTAAATGTAATATGGGGTTGAGGCAGGGCAGCCGACTCTGGACCCAAAAGTCCCAGGTTCGAGCCCCAGTCTTTGCACATCTTGTGGTGTCTCTGAGCAGGACACCCTATCCCCAACTGCCCCCGGGCGCCTTCAATAGCTGCCCACTGCTCCACCTGAGTGTATCCCAGGTGCGATGGGTTAAATACAGAGAGACAATTTCACCTTTGTATGGGAACATGCAATGATGACAACACATAACACATTATTATTGTTTTAAAATATTCTGCTCATAGAAATTATCTGTTAAAAAAAATTAATAACAGTTTTAATTATTGTTGCTGCTTCAAGGCCTCTGAGCTGGAGGACCTGCTGGAGGATCTCCAAAATGGCGGCCAGCAGCAGCAGCAGCACCTGTTTCCCAGTCAGCCACCATCCTCTTCCTCTTCATCTTCCTCATCGACGGCGCCGCCTAGCTCCTCGGCGGACAAACAGACCATCATCAGCGACATTCTGCAGCTGAATGACAGCAGCAGCTCCCCCAGCCAACACAGAGCCTTCCCCACCGTCGGCCCCGCAGGTACGGTTGCAACAGGACGTTTGATTTCTGAACTGGTGAAATTTGCATCCCATAACAAAAATGAAACGGTCATTTTTCATCCCACAGGCTTCAACAGTGCCAGACCAGAGCAGCAAGGTCAAGGTGCTCCTCCAGTCAGGAGCATGTCTCTGGACAGCAGTATGGGCTCCAGCCCCACCAGGACTTTCCCCCCTCAACACAGGAACAACGGACCATACTCTTTACTACACCAGCAAGGCATGATGGGAACCCATCCGGGCATGACCAATCAGGCTGGGGTAGCCAACACAGGTAAAGAAGAACAAGAAGAAAATTGAGACTTACCTTTTCCCACTGATTCAAAAAAAAAAGTAGAAGTGTGTTTCATTTACGTAGATGAGATTAGTTAAATAGTAAATGAGTAAATATAAGGGCTACAGAATAAAAACTCTTCAAACTTAAATGTTTTATTGATTTTAATTGTTTTTTTATTTATTTCTGAAACAGGTATTCGAGGCTCCATGCAGCAAGGCTGGGGTCCTCAGGGGCCCTTAGGTGGCACCGTGGGGCCAATGATGGGTCAGGGGTTTGTTCGTATGGTCCCCAACATGAATTCTGCGCTCCCCACACGAGGCAGCGCGCCACCCGTGTCCAGAGTCATGGCCAACATGCAAATGATGGGCAATGGTGCGCAGAAATCAAACCCATCTAAAACCACCTGTCGGAGCGTTTTGAGTTGGTTTTAATATTTGTTACATCTTTTATCCCCCCAGACCTGGACATGGCCGCCCCTCCTTACCATCCGCAGCATGCGCCGCCCAATCAGACAGCTCCGTGGCCCGATCGCATGATGATGGATCATTATGGAAACCAAAGCAGGTTTGGCTTTCAGTTCACCGAAGCTTGAAGAGCCCGAGGAGGGTTAGTTCGGCTGAGTTTAGTGTAACTGTGTCACTTTGCAGGCCGTCGTACGGCATTCCTCAGGAGGAAGGGGTCGGTTGTTGTGGCTCGGGGCCTGAAGGCCACACGGACGAGGGCGCCCTGCTCAGCCAGCTGTGCTCGGTGCTGAAGGACTACGAGGGTCTGGAGGAAATCGACAAGATGCTGGGGATCCCAACGTTGGCAGGACAGGTGGGATTATTGAACAATATTTAGAAGTTTAGTCATCGTTAAAGTCTAACCAGGGGCAGGGTGGGATTGTGCAATTCGTGAAAGTTGTATATTTTTTCTTCAATCACAAATAAAGAACGATCAACAACAACGGTAAAAATGATCCGACGTATTGTTACGAGCGCTCTAATGCCCCATAAATGCTGCAGCTCTGCTCCGCTGCTCAGAAATCACGACAATCGTCTTCTTACACAAACTTAGTTTATAACAAGATTCAGTGTCTAAACGCTGTGAAGTTCGGTCGTTGCATCATGACTGAGAGGAAATACGACGACTCGCAGTCGGACTGAAACAGGCGGTTCATATTCTGCCTTTTAAAGCTGCACCTGTTCAGGTGAAACGTGTACAAACCATGATTATAGTTTTAAATAAAGTCTGTTAAATGTGTTTTGAAGCAGCTGAAGACATTGAAACTATAGAAACAGATCATGACCATCATCTTCGTCAGAGAACAGAATTACACTATTTGTCCCGCACTGATGTTAAAATCTAGTCATTTTTAAGTTCATATGTGAAGAAGTTTTTATTTATTTACAAAAGGTAGAATTGTTTCCATGTTTTCACAAGTAATTTCACAAAATAACTTCAAGTTTTTGTTAATAAATGACGTCCATGCTGAATTTTGAGCTATTTTTAGACGCTGTGCGTTTTATGAAACAGTCTCCACCCGTCTCTATGTCCTTTAACTTTCTGTTGTCCCGCCCGAAACTTCTGCTCAAGATAATTTAACGAAACTTCATACGCATATGCATCAGCACTCCAGCTCCAAGGTCAAGGTGACAAATCAAGGTCAAAGTTAAAACAAGGTCTTTGCTTGTCCGGGCCGTTGCTGTAGATGACTTTAATATCGACGGGCGTATAATAATGTTGTTTATAATTAATGTCATAACTGTTGAAATTAAACTTTTTGCTTTATCTTTGTTGAAATGTGTCCATAGTTGTGGCATTTAGGAAATGTTACAATGTAATTATGAGAATGTAATTAATCCAACATATAAAAAAGACGCATTGAATCATAAAACATAAAATTTAGAAAAAAAATGGGGAGAAACAGATTTAGTAAAGTTCTTCAATACTGTAAAAGTACACCGGTAATGTACAAACACTGTATTTATTTCTAAGTTAAATAAATACAGTGTTTAACTCAATGAATAATTGATTTCAATAACCCTGATAACAATATTGATCAAAATATAATTGATTATAACTGAGCAGCTCTAAAGCACATTCTGCCAGTTTAGCCCTAATATTTATAAACCATTGTTTTTTCAGCTGAACTTCAGTGTTAATTTCTTCTGTACACTGTAAACATTTTCAACAACTAGTTGTCCAAGAAAACTTGATGATAAAAAAAGTTAATATGTCAATATATATAAGTTAATATATTGTTAATAAATTGATCTGAATCCCTGCAAATGATGCTGCAAGTCCTAAAGCTGCTGTTTGTACAGATTTCATTAAGTTCTGGTCCCCTTCCAGGGCCCTCTGTCAGATCAGGAGCAGTACCTCGGCTCCTCGGACCCTCCATCCAGCCTGAAGCCCCCCCTCTACAGTCAACACTACGGGGGGCAGCCAGGTTACGGCGGCATGCCTCCTGATGGCAGGTACTCTGCTCCATCCATGGGCGGCCACATGGGGCCTCAAAGAATGGGACTTGCAGGGTACCCCCCTATGATGAGGATGCCTGGTGGCCTGGGACCTGGGGGGGCCACTTCAATGGTCCCCCCGCAGCCCAACAACCTGAGGCTGCAGCTACAGCACCGACTCCAGGCCCAGCTGGTAGGTGGCACCAAACTCTTTAGTTCTTTTTCTCTCGGAAAATAATGTCTGTGGTTTTTGGAGGAGACAAAAGTATCGGGTCATACAGCTGCAGTTTATAAACGTTTTAAAGAAACGGTAAAATTTGTTTCTTCTTAAAACTAAATTCACAATTTCCTTTAAAGTGCAGCAAATACAGAGTCCTATTTAAAAGGATTTACCAGAACAAACCAGCAAAACAAAAACATGCCGGAGTTTTCCTGCTTCTTTACAATAAATACAAACGCATGAATTCACCTAGAAATAATTCGTTAGTCCTGATCTCCCCGTGTTTACAGTTAACCTGCGTCTTTAAAGAGTCCATGATGTTTTAAAATCAGACACCCAGCCTCTTCTTGTTAACCCTTGGTGTGGTCCGTCAGCACCTAATGGTGCAGGCTGCCCCCTGGTGGAGAGCAGAGGGAAGACAGTTCGTTTAAACCTTCACCGAGGCAGAAGATGTATGGTGGCATCTTTTTATGTTTCTGCTGCACCAATAACTCCACAAAACCCCAACATTTTAACTGAACGTGATGAGAAAACTGGACCGATACGTTCCTAAGACTTGAAACTCTTCCTTTAAGGACAACAAGGAGTTGAAATGCGTCCTAAGTTCGACTGCAGAGCGAGCGGCTTTGTGAGAGTTTGGAGCTCCACACTTTATGTTTGGAGTTTAACGAGAGAAACCAAGTGCAGTTGCTTTGTTGCTGAAACTCAGGGTTAGCTACAGAGTTGTGGACCTGCTTTACAAACTAGAATTTCTTCCAATTGCTAATTAATCAAAGTAAAAAACTGCATCAAATAAAACCCAATTTAGGACTAGGCCTGTCGCAATAAACAATAAATCAATTAATCGCACGATAAATTAAAATTATCAACCACATTTTCGTTTATCGGCTTTATCGTTTTTTCGTGTCTCTCTTTCTACTGAAGACACTGGACGACAAAAAGATCAACTTCTGTGCTCTTCACTGACCCCTCCCTTTCTCTTTTCTCTATAAAATTCATTTTAACAATCCAAAATTGCGTTTTTTGGATCATTAAAGGCAGCTAAGCTGAGAAGCTAAGCTACGAGCTAAGCTAACAGGTCGACCTCAGGGGAAAAACCCTCCGTCTTGTCGAAGCTCCAAAATTCACGGTTGAAACCTGTGCCTTCGTGTAAAAAGTTGTTTTTCTTTGCAAAAATAAGTTGAGAACTTGTTTACTGGTTTTTTTTTTATTTAAACCTTTGTGTGAAAATGCTAAAGAGCTCAATTCACACCGAGCGTTCGCCATTTTGAGAACCAAAAAACAGGAGGGAGAGACAGCCCATGTCACGTCAAGGGGCCTCCCTCCCATTTTTCTTAAAGTGACACGCTGCTCGCTCCCTCACTATCCATCCTTTGGTTCAAACAGTCTTATACTGCCATCCAGTGGTCGAAAAAAGGTACTACGCGCAAAAATTAACAAACATTTCTTCTTAAATTTGACAATAATTACTAATTATTATCAAATTTCAAACAGTATTATCGTTTATCGCAATAATTTCTGAGACAATGAATCGCCAAGTAAAATTTGTTATCGTGACAGGCCTCCTTAGGATTAACTAACAAGTGGACAGTGAACTGTTATTGAAGTAAGTTATCAATAAAGGTATTAAATTATTAGTAGTTTTTCAAATGTAGTTTTATTCAAATTACTTGTTGCGCTCTGAAGTTTGATTAGAAAACGCTGTTAGATTTACAACAAATGTAATTTTTTTAATTACAATATACATTTTATAAACTATTTAAAATATTTACATCTTTCACTGAAATTCTGTTTGTTGTTTTTATTTGAATTATTTTACTGCAAATGGAATTTTTTTGTAAAGATATTTCTGGCATTTGATGGTCGTAATCACAAAAATCTTTTATTAAATGTACACGTATTTTTTTGTGCTGCACAGTACTGGGAGTACATTCAGTGTGTGATATTCTTGTTTATTACTGCGAGGATGGTATGAGTTGATGAACTTTGACTCATCTAACCCTGGTGTGAGCATCAAGTCCAGTCAGTGTCTGTCTGTTGGATTGACCAAAACTAATATTGGGATGCAGAACACGAACGCATGATACTTGAAATATAAAAATTAGGGATGCACAATATTGGACTTTTCCCCGATTTCCGATATATTAAAACATATTTGGCCGTCATTTTACATCGGTGAGTTATTTTGATGGAACGTCCGATATTTAACTTTATCGCTAATATCACCCGATACTGATACCATGCCGATAATATCGTGCATCCCTAATAATAATCAATGATTCATCGCAGCCTTCGCAGTGTTACTAATGTGCTCGCTGATACTGCGGTGATGATAAATGTGCGTTCTGTGCAGCCCCGCCTGTCACCATCACATGTTTCAGCACACTGACATCTACATGCCTGTCTCGCCTTCTTTAATCTGATTGGTTGAAGTAGCTCTTTGACTCCATGTGCAGAACCGTCAGCCAATGGTGAACCAGATGGGCGGAGTCTCCAACATGAATCTACCTCTAAGGTCTAACGTACCAACCCAGGTCAGTTGGGGTCATAAACGCAGCACTCGGCTCGCTCGTCCCTTACATGTTAAATGTCCTCAGCTCTGTTCACACTTGGTTTTGTTTCTCGGGGAGATCATTTCCACTCCGTGTCTCTTCCTTTGGGGTGTTTCTCCTGCAGGGAAATCTCAACGCCCATATGGTGGCCCAGCGTCAGCGCGAGTACCTCAGCAACCACCTTCGTCAGCGTCAGCAGCACGTGCACCAGCAGCGCACCATGATGATGAGGACGCAGGGCATAAACCTGCCGCCCAACATGCCCAGCGGGGGCGCCGCTGCCACGCCGATGCCGATGGGGGGCACCAACCCTCGGTTACCCCAGGGCAGCCTGCAGCGGTTTCCTTACCCGGCCTCCAGCTACGGTACAGGCCTGCCCTCTCCTCCTCCACCTCCTCCTCCTCATCCCGGCTCCTCCAGCCCCTTCTCCTCCCCTCTGTCCCCCAGTCATCTTCTGGCAAGCCAGGGCATGATGGGAAATGTAGGCGGGCAGTACAGCGGTGTAATGAGCCCGTCGTCACAGCACAGTGCCTTCCAGTTCAGCAGCTCAGGTATAAGACCAGACAGGGTTCATGTGTGAGTGCTCTGAGAGGATCTAACCGCTTCCTCTTTTATTTGTGATTAAAACATGAACATGTTTTCTGCATGGAGTTCTTTTCTTTGGTCCTTGTTAAAGTTTGCACGAGAACAGCTTGCTCTAGATCTGCTTTTGTTTGCTAACTGTCGGTGCTGGAGGTGGTTTCCTGCAAACTTTAAAATCTTCTTCCTCCTCATTTTAACTCTTTAAATCACTTAGAAACGTATTATGATCAGGTTTACATATTCTGATTAGATCAATCTGTTGATAAGTGTAGAATAAAAGCAGCGTCGCATTCGTCACGTTTTATCTGAACCACCCTCCAGGAATGAGCCAGCAGCAGCAGCAGCAGCAGCACCAGGACCCAGGGTCGTGCTTCCCGTGTGGCGCGACCGCTCCGCAGAGCCCCCTGCTGTCCCCCAGGATGGGCCAGAGCTCCATGATGCAGCAGAGTCAGGGCCAAGCCCAAGCCCCGAACCAAGGAGGTCCGCCCAGCTACCAGCCCAGTCCAGACCTCAATGGATGGTCTCAGCCTGCCAACATCTCCAGCAGCAGCAGGTAGCAGCAGATTCTGACCCGTTGTTCTGCTCAACGATTATTTCTGCGTGAACTGAAGCTCAGCGTGTGTTTTCTCAGCGTGTACACGCAGCAGTCTCCGTACTCAACTCAACCCAGCGGTGGATTATACAACAGCAGCAGCATGAACCTGGGAGTCTCCATGGCCAGCAGTGGAGGCAACATGAACTCCATGTCCGCCCGGATGACTGAACAGGTGACGGATCAGCTCAGATCGTCGCAGCTGTTCATCCGTCATGTATACAGTTCATGTTGATTTGTTTTACTTTGATTTGCTGGTGCAGGTGAGCGACAGCAGCCTGATCCTGGAGCAGCTGGCAGGCATCGACATGCTGACCCAGGAGGGTGATGTCAGCTCTGTGAGTAAACCTTTGCTCTTCACAACTTTACATTCTTTAGTTATAATCGCACAGATATCGTAAAAAAAATAAAGAGTATACTTCGTATAAGTGTTCTCCACGTAAGCAGAAGCACATCATTACTGGAGCGGTTCATGTGAACGAATCTGACGTGTCGGACTTCAAGCTGCACAATCGTGGCGGCTTTTCAGACCAGCCCAAGCGCTGCGTTATTGACTTGGATTTTAGTTGCAGAGCTCAACACAACACGTAGCGTCTACCGTATATTTAGTTCTTTCTCAGTGAATTTCAGTCCAGTTTGTTAGAAGTTTTTCATCTCACAGTTTATCAGATTAACAAAAACAGCTCCGTATTTTCCGCCGTACATGTCGCACCGCTGTATAAGTTGCATCAGTCTAAAAATGTCTAATAAAGTGGGAAGAACATGAATAAGTCACTTCGCTGTGTAAGTCGCATCTCTTAGGCGTCACCGCTGACAACCCAGAAATGTGGGCCGGTGTTGTGCCAAACATCGATTGGCTGCCAAATGGCAGCTGTGGGAGCGTGCACGGGAGGACTTTAGCAAGAATTTAACAAGATTAATACTTAAAATCAATTATTCGTTTGCTCAAAATTATAGCAAATGTGTTTCTCAGTCCTACGTTTCCTTAAAAAATGCACATTGACGGTCAAATCAGCTGCGTTTCAAAAGCGATACTCAGAAGCAGCAGCGCGCACAGGGACCACTCGCTGTGCATTTCTTCGAAATTTAACAAGATAACCACCTTAAAACAATTGTTTGTTTGCTCGACATTATAGTAAAGGTGTGTCTCAGTTTAACTTTTCCTTAATAAATGCACATTGACGGTCAAATCAGCTGCATTTCGCCTGGGCGGTGCAGCGAAATGCAGCTGATTTGACGTTTGCTCCAGGAGTTCTATGGCAAACCTAGTGTCTCATTAATAGCCACTTTTACCTATTAATGAGACTCTTGGCTTACCATATTAGTCGAGCACCCTCTAGTGGCTGAAAATGGTAGTGTTCGATATTTTCCATGTCAGAATGAATGAAATCGTCAGATCTCAGACAAAAATTGGATTATAAATATGGAAAAAAATATAAATACGTTGCTTCGCTGTATAAGTCCCAGGCATGCTAATTTATGCAAAAAACTGTGACTTATATGCCAGAAAATACGGTATATGCTGTTAAAAAGTGTATATGGAGGGAAAGACGGATGAACACAAAATGAATTCATGTTAAAGATATTTAATCCAGAGAGCCGCCATTGTTCTTAAAATGACGCCCCTGCAGTTGTTCCAACAACCGTTTTCTTATTTTTCCACTAAACTTTATGAAAGTTTTGTTCACGATTAATACGATTTTGATCTTCTGCATTTTTATAGAATTTTTGCTGACCATGGCTTTGGTTGGGACAAAGTAACACAGGGACCCGCAAAACCACCACAGACAAGCATGAAGAAGCTGAAGGACATCCGCCATCTTGGAGGCTCAAAGGACGAAGGACAAACTGAGACACATAAAAGTCTCTGAACTCGGCCAGACGGCTTTAGTTCCTGCTTTATGCAAAAGTCAGAGATTCCAAGGAAACCATCGTCTGAACCGACCTGACAGCAAACACTTTCATTGTAGATCCATCGCAAGAAGAAGAAGAAGAAGAAGGAGGAGGAGGAGGAGGAGGAGGAGGTGTTTTGTGATTCAGGGTTTGTTGGGACTCATTTCAGTCGTTCATCCTGGATGTTTATTCAAAACGTGCTCGACAGTATTTATCTGTTCGTTGTTTGTTCACTTACACGTGGTGCTAAATCCGTCAAGTTCAAGCTACTCCAGAAACTAAACTAAACAAAAACGGACCAATAAAACCCAGTTTTCCTCCTAAGTTATGCAAAACATTAGCTTTTAAAGTGGCCTATGTTGGGAATCTAGATTTATTTTCAGCTCATAATATATTTTTACAGCCAGAGCTGAACTTAAAACACATACTGGACTCTCAGCTGGCACTTATTTAAACTAATTCTAATACACAAATACTGTAATTTCCAGACTATTGAGTGCACCCGATTAAGCCCTGCCCACTTCATAAATAAAAATAATAATACAGTTTTACAATTCTAGAATTGCGCCGCTCGAGGTTGGAGCAGCGCTGGTAAATTCACTCCGAGTTGTTGCTTTTGGAAACTTTAATTCCTCTTTTTTCTGGACGTAAATAACTTTTTTTCTGATGATTGTTTCCTCTGGTATCAGAAGCTGCGCAGCTGGAAGGATTTTTACTGAAACATTTTTACTTTTGGGCATTTGTTATGATGCGTAACCATGGCAACAAAGTGTTTTTTTTTTTTTTAAACCACCAGGAGCAGCTGATTAACATCTCAAACGCTCAAATATCTCAACTACAGCTCCAAATCCCAAATGAGTTGAAAAGGAGGCGCCATGGACGAATTCCCGTCAACTTGGCGGCGGTGCTTGAATACTTGACCGCCAAGATCCTGGAGCTGGTGGGAAACTTGGCTCGTGACAACGGGAGGACCAGGATCATCCCCCGGCACCTTCAGCTGTCTGCCCATGGTGACGAGGAGCTCGGCAGACTGCTGGGAGGAGTGGGCGTCGCTCGGGGAGCGGTTCTGCCCGGCATTCGGGCAGTCCTGCTGCTCAGGAGGACCGAGAGGCCTGTCAGATCTGACAACAAGCTGGATCTGGGTGGACGGATCGGAATCTGTGGACAGATTTTTCAGCAGGAGATCCTTCCAGCCCACAGCCATCAGCATCTAACAACCCTTGAATGAAACCAGGACGAAGAGCTACGACAACGCTTAATTTCCCTCTGGGATTAATAAAGTAGTTTTGAATTTGAAATTTGAACCTAAAAAGGACACACATGAGCTGTTTACACAGATCAATTTTTTAAACTTTTAATTAAATACGTACAGTAAATGTTTTTTTGGTGAAAAAAAAAATAGACACAGTACCAGGAAGTCGTTGATGGCCATCTTCATCTTCCTCCTGCGCACTGCCTCGTCATCCTCCGCTGCCTTTTGAAACCTGTTGGTGATCGAGGATGTTTTTACGGCGCTCGCCGCCAGAGGCAGCTATGTGAGCCCCCAGGTGTGGCGAGGCCAAATGTTTTGGCAGCATGAAGCTCGTTAGCTCGTCAAAAAAACAAAAAAATGATCCATAAATCAGCCGCAGTGTTTAAAGTGTTTGAAAAAAGTAGCAGCTTATATTCTGGAAATTACGGTGCGTGAAATGTTAAGTTTTAACACAACGTTTCAGCGTTTCTGCCTCTTCAGTGTTGAACGCAGCACGTTTTAATAATTTAATTAGTTTGAATGTACTTTCCTGCTGCTGTTCAACCAGCAGCACTCAGGCTGTGTATGAAAACTGGAAATGGTTTCTGGGTTTGAGGCTTTTAAAGGGTTTGATGCCAAAACTGACCAAGTGTTGACACAAAGGAAGAGCTGGAAAACGGATTAGACGACAAACGATCTGTAACTTTGGGGTTCATCGTTTTTTATTTGTTTTATCAGAACACTGATTGGAAATAATTAGCTATTATCGTATTAACTGAGATGTTAACCCTTTCCTCTCCTGAATGAAGTTCGGGCGTTACAGATCCGTCTCCGAGTGCGTTCACACCTAGCCGTTAACGTGCACCCTACAATAATAACGGGTCCAAAACGAGAACGCGTTCACACATCGGAACTACGGTTTTAATTCGCTTTTTTTGACGAGGTTTATTTGAGGGTAAATTAGTGTCGCGGCAAAAAATGGAGAAACGGCCGTCGGTCGTTCTTTAATATTTTCCGTGGTCGTCCGGTAAACGCGACATCTGAGCTGTTACAACGAGCCATCGCTGCCCGGAGCGCGTTGTAGCGTCCAGTGACCACCGTCCGAACAAACTTTAAACTCAACAGAAACGTCCTGGTGATGCACTTTGAGTAATTAAATCATGACCAAAGTTTTATTGAGAAGGACTCGGATAAACAGTTTATTAAAAACTCGTAGCTAAAAAGTAAATAAAACAAGAAAAGCTGCATCTTCAGAACATTCCCAAGGAATTACTGTTTAATTACTTTTAATCAGCCGGCGGCTGAAACAGACGTTTGAATTTTTGTTTATTTATTTTACCCTGAGACGTTCGGGTAAAAATGCTGCTTGCTTTGGGTCGAGTCAGTTCAGTCGGAGATCAGATTACCGTAATCTCTTGCCTATAAATGTACAAAATTATTATTATTAGTGGGCAGGGCTTAAATTCAGGTGCACTCAATAGTCCAGAACTTACGGTGCAAACCAACAAAGAGGTCCAGAAGTGAGAACGTTTGCAGCGTTTAGTCCAGCAGAACAAGGCCTTCCTGAAAGATACTCATCAAACCACTGCACCACCGTGCATCTGTTCTCCAAAACATTAAATCCTCAACATTTCATGCTATTCTCATAATTGATTGATTAAACTTTGGTGACACACAAAGAAACGGAGACTTCTTCTGCCGCCTGGACGAACGTGATGAAGCGACTCCGTGTTGCGTTTAATGACCTCTTTATTTTTGACCATTGACCAGATTGTGTTGAACTTGGGTCGCCTGCTGAACGTGGAGCTGTTTGAAACCCTCCGAGGTCTCGCGGTGTATTTATGATGGACTACTTTGTGTGTATGAGTGCGTTTTTATGAAAAACTGAAGCAAATGTCAAAGTTTTGACACTGTAGAGATGATTTTTTTTTTTTTTTTAACTCGTACGGTTCTTTTTCAGAGCCTGACTGAAGATAATATTGAGAAATATATGACAATTATTTTAGTTATTTATAGTTTTGAAGACATTTTAGAGAATATTTGTATGGAGAGAAGATAAAAAAAATCAAGTATATCTTTATGGAAATCCTGTTGTTGATTAAAATTAATATATTTGAACTGCTGTAGTACACGGGACCTGCGCCCACTATATTTAATGACTTTTCAATAAAGATGAATGTGTATACATGGTCTCGTACATTTTTAATTTTCCTGAGTGGTGTGGAAAGTTTGAAGGTCACTAAACAATCGTTAGAGCGTCGCCAGATTAAAATCAAGAAAGTATACTTTTCATTTTTAAATAAAAAAAGGCCTCTGGAGTCTTTAGATGACACCGAAATATGTTTATTATGTGCAGCGACGAGAACCTGAAACTGTTTCATGTTTAATTTGTCACTTGTTTTTATAAAAATATTAATACGTTTAATGTGAAAATGCTGCAAAACTAAAAATAGATTGTTAAAATGTTCTGAAACTTTCAGCAGGATTAAGGTGGAACTGAATGCTAAACAGGAAACTTAAGGCAAAATTAAAGAAATGTTGAAGAATTTTTATTTTTAACAAAATTCTGTCGTTTGTGTAAATATTATTTTTATCAGAGTTTAAAAAGTTGGAACTTTGATTCTCTGCTACTTTAAGGTTTAAAGCATCTAAACATGTCAGAAGCTGAAGATGCTCCACATTATTCAGATCAGAGTTTATCACTTTATTTACAGAGCTGACCAGCCGCTTAAGTAAAATGAACTACGGTGGCCCTTTAGGGACAGCTCAAATGAAGCTGAACAGGATCCATGGAAATATGGAAAGCCATTTCATTCAAAATTAAATAAATAGTGTTATTTAAAAGGTATTAATCAATATTCCATTAAATAAATAAATGTTCCCCTGAAATTAAACATTTAAATAGAAAAGTTTACTTTTTTCTCCAAGATTTTTTATTCTTTTCTAGATTTATTTTTATTTAATTCATGATTTAGTTATTTATTTGTCACAAACTGAAACTCCATTATTGAATAAATAAAGCTTGAAATAAATAAAAAACAAATCTTGGATTAAAAAAATATATATATATATATATTTAAATGTTTTATTTCATGGGAACATTTCGTTACTTAATGGAATATTTATTAGGCAGCACAACTGGTAGAGCTGCTGCTTCTCAATGAGAAGGTCGCCGGTTCAAATCCCAGTCCTGGAGCCTCTCTGAGTGGAGTTTGCATGTTCTCTCTGTGCACGTGTGGGATTTCTCCAGGTACTCCAGTTTCCAGACCAAAAACGTGCATGTTAGACTGATGGTAACTCTAAATTGTTCCTAAGAAATGGGTAAAAGATAATGGATGGATGGATAATTTATTAATCACTTTTAAATAACACTTATTTATTTATTTAATTTTGAATGAAATGGCTTTCCATATAGAAAGACCTGCTGAGCTTCTTAGAATTAAAACATTAGAAGGTAAACTTGCTGATTATTAATTTTATTTTTTATACTTAAACCAACTTGGTTTCAAAACAAAATGTCTTTCTTCTCATTTTACTGTAAAAATAGGAACTTGTCCAGCGTTTGTTTCCATGTGGCCGCAGCTGCAGGAGCCAAGCAGCAACACATATTTTATTCTGCTGAAAATATCCAAGTTGTTGTGCTCGGGTTCTTTTCTTCCACTCCGTCGTGCTGTTACAGCTGTTTGCTTCCATTAAAGGAACTCGTTGCAAAGTCTGAACGACCAAACAAGCAACACGTAAAACGGGAAACGAAACCTGCTCAGTGTTTTTCTCAAGGCTCAACGTCCAGGCCATGTGTGTTTACAGGCAGCCGAAGGTTTTGTTTACATTGAGCGTGGACCCACATTTCAGAATCACATCCAGTATATCTGGAATACGACTTCATCGAGGCTCACAGGAACGTTTTGTTTAGTTTGCTTTCATGTTTTTGCAGTGACCTTTAAGCTGCAGCAGAACTTCATCACTCGTTCAGTTTGGATTTTAACTCAAAAATAAAATTAAACTCTCATTTTAAAGAACGGCGGTCCGCTGAGAACGCTGACGTTTAGCATTTGTTACATTTCATAGCGTGTTTGAAGATATTTAGTTACATTTACGGTTTTGACCTCTGCCGTAACAATTTTTGAAATAACTTTTTTTTTTTTTGCTCCTTATTTTTATTTGAAGTTTATTTTCCAAACTCCTTTTTAAAAAAATGTTTCCTCACAAATCGGGACACTCTAAACTGATTTCCGAACATCTTCGACTGCTGATCAGCGCCTCACATCCTCAAACACGTCGGTCAAAACAATAAATCAAAGTAAAGTGCAGATGTTCATAAACAACATCTGTTTTTATTTGAAGTCTCCTCCTGTTTGCAAACTGTTGACTGTGTTGCGTCTGCCGAGGCGGCTTGTTCATTCATAATGTTCCCAACACAGCAAATAAATTATTTTTATTAATCTGCTCTGTCTTTGAGTTTTATTTTACACCTGATCAATAAACACAAACATCTGATTCATCACTGGTGTTGCAGTTCTCCCGATTCTCCAGCAGGTGGAGCCATTTTCACTTAAATGAAAGCACAAACCTTCAGAAATCCAATAAAATAATTATAGCAAAACTAAACATTTAACCATCTCAGCCATTAAAAAAACAAATGTAACTTTATATTTATACTTTTAAAATCTTAATTAATGGCAAACATCTCTTCTGAGACTCAGCTTCAAAACAAAACTTAAGTTTACACCCTATATTTAAATATTATTTTGCTTTGTTTTTTGAATGTCCAGAGGACCAGACTTAACTTTTGTAGACTTTTCTACCTGGATTATTGAGCAGCATCAGGATATTCTTCTTTAGATTTTTCTCCCTGGATTATTGAGCACGCATCAGGATATTCTTCTTTAGATTTTTCTACCTGGATTATTGAGCACGCATCAGGATATTCTTCTAAGTTGTTTGCGACACCTTTGTGTTTTTTTAAACGTTGCCAACCCTGGTCCAACAGTCACGACGCACCCTTATTTTATGAGCGGAAACATTTCCTGCATCATATTAATCTTCAATTATGGTGCAACTGAAACAACTCTAATTTTGGTTTTAAGACCAGATAAATACATGATGGCGTATTTGTGGGAAGAGTGTAAATATACTTCTTTAAAATACAAAATATCTGCTCATGGTCCCTTTTTCCATTTCAGCACATTTTCCTGCTGAGACGTTTGATGTAAATTAGCTGAAAACTTCCTGTAATACAGTTTGTGACACGTTCAGATCCATCTGGATTGATGGAATTCCTTATTCTTGATCCAGCAGTGACGTGTGATGAGGCAATGGGAGGTGCAGGCCACCATGGACCAGACTGGTCTTTGTCTCTTCAGTCAGAAACCTGAAACTGGTCCCCGGTGCCCTCAGTGTGGGTTGAATCCCAGCACACTGCCTCTTTTATTAACCTGCTGAAATAGTTTTCCTGATCAAATAAAACCCTTTGTGTCATGACATTATGAAACAGTTTGGCTGCAGGTGTCGGAGGACACGTCCTCAGATAAATCTCTGCAGTCTTGAAGGAGAGCTAGAGGTCATGAACTTCAGCAGACATGATCTCCTATGGCTGATGTACTGTAAGTCTAAACTTGTAAAATCAGCTCCTGACATGTTCAAGGTCACTGATGAAATGTATCTGAGACTTTTGTTCCTGCAATCAGCTCTTTGCTGCTGCAACTACAACATTTTATTAACAATCTAATCTTTTTTTTTGTTGTGTTTTGGCAACGCCTCGCGCCTTTTGTCCAGCCTCACGTAGTTTCATGGTGTAAGTTATGAGGAAATGTCAGCTGATGCTGATAGTGGATCACTTCCGGATTGTCAGCTGGGACAGAAGGATGTTTCCTCTGTGAGTGAGCTGAGCGCTGATTGGTCCGTGCAGCTGTCAGTCAGGAGGGCACCTGCGTCAGCTGGCGCTCCTAGTTTGGCTCCAACAGCCAAAGATAGAAAAATAAGAAGAGGTCTCACTCTGATTCTTTTTATTAGGTTAGCAGAGAGGAGGATTGTTTCAACCAAGAAGAGTTTTGAATTTTTTTAATTTATTTATAAAATAAAGTCAGTCAGTGACTTTTATCAGCTGTGAGTTAACGGACTGTTTACATTCTGGTATATGTGGTCACCGTGGTGCGTTCAAGTGCAATTTTATTTTCAGAAACTTTGATTTTTTTTTTCTTTTTTGTCTGTGTATTGATGATAAGATATGAGCAGCTGAAATAATATTATTGAAATTCATCCATTCATCCATCCATCCATCCGTCCATCATCTTTACCCACTTGTTCCTTTACGGGTCACAGGGGTCACTGGTGTCCATGTCCATCCATCACTGTGTAAGAGGAGAGGGACACTCTCACAGTATGACATAAATTGTGGCACAAATTCAATTTTAGCTCAAAGCTATTTTAGCTACTATTTTTCTGCTCAGAGTTTATTGTCAGCTTTTTTTTTTAATTTTAGCTATTTCATTTAGACATTTTAGCATTTAGCTACTTTTAGTTTCATATAGACTTTTGATACTTTTCTGTCCCATCCAGTGGTTTTTGATCATGTTCTGCAACTTTTAGCTGCTAGCTTGCATTTAGCTTATGTTAATTTTAAACCAGATATATTATTTAATTATTTATTATTATTAATAATAATATTGTTGCTGTTGTTTTGCTTTTAACAGCTCAGTTTCAGTTTTGGTGCAAATTGAAACATCCCGATCACATTTCATGCAGTTTCTTTAGTTTGTAGCGATTTTTATTTATTTGTTTATTTATTTGTTTATTTATTTGTTTATTGCTCTTTGGAGCCGTTTTGTTTCGGTGTTTTCTATTTTCGTTTCAGATTTCTTATCCCCATGTTATGATTAATCTTTCCTAATGCAGGATCTTTTAAGGGGAGGCGTGTGGGAGAGGGAGGGGGGACCACTGCAGTCCTCCTCCTGTGCCTCCCCCTGTCTCCTCCTGCGTCTCCTCCTGTCTCCTCCACAGTCCGTCCTCCGCCGCCGGTGGACCTGCTGAGGAGTTTTTAGTCACTTTACAGGCAGGTGAGACCCCCCGTCCCGCGGGGACAGCAGGGCAGAGATGACCGGACCCACGGCACCTCAGCGGCAGGACACGCGCAAATTCGTGGAGAACCTGTCCGGAGCCGGCACCTCCATCGCGGTGCTGACCAGCGGCGGAGATGCTCAAGGTAACATCATGTTCCGAGAGCCTTCAGCTGGACCTGCTGGGCCTCAGGGGGTCTCAGTGGACCGGGTCCATCACGGGTCTGCTTGACTTTAAGTCCCAGAACCTGGTACCGGGCAGATGTTGTAACTTAATAATAAATAAATAAATAATAATAATAACACTAATAAATATTTAAAGTCAAAATAAGACATGTCCGATAATGGATGTGTGGGGTTTAGCTCGAATGGTGAGTTCGGTTCGGAGCGGCAGGACCCAGGCCCGGCTCATGATCTGCGCGTCACGAGCCGGACTCGAACCAGCGCCCCGGCTCTGTGGGTGCGTCCCTGCCGGTGGTGGGAGTCACTTCCGTGGTGTCGGACAGATGTTAGTTCGGAACCGTGCGATCGGTTCTGATGACATGTTCTGGTATGCAAACGGGTCCAGACTGGACCTGCCGCCTCATCAACAAGTGAAACATGAAGAACTCTTTGGATTTTACGCAGTCGCTTCCCATCATGCATCTGTCACCTGCTGCGTGCGCGCGCCGAGGCGCAACACGCGGATTTATTCGGACCTTTTTTATTCTAAGATGTTCTCACAGGGGTTCGGATCTGTAACTTCTTACAAGAAACAAACAAACAAAACACCAAATTAATTGTTGTCGGTGTTTTCTGAGCAAATGTGCGGCTGCTCGTTCACTTCATGAACTGTCATTATTCTGACACTTCCTGTCTGAAGTGCACTTTTGTTTTTAAGTGTCCTCATTCTTTCCTCCTCTGCTGGAGTCTGTTACGTCACTGAGTCACGACAGGACCCGAGTCATTGTGACCCGGGTTAAACTAGGTACATCCGGTTTACTCTTTGAACGTAAAAAATAAATCCGTGTCGTCGCGTTTTGTTGCTTTTACTTTGAAGGAGCTACATGTTTGACTTCCTGTGATCGTCGCTAACTTCACTGTTGGCGCTGAAGGTCAAGTAGCCTCCTGCTAAGGATTTTATTTGTTTTACAGAGATGATCTGATGAAAAGAAACAAAAATAAATTAAATTTAAGCTCAAGTGAAAAAAATAAAGTTTAGTTTTGTGCAAAAATCTCTTTATTGTAAAATGAAAACCAAGAGTCATTACAAACCACCTCAGGGATGATTTATGTGCATTTCACTAATGGTCTGTGGTGTGTGCATGTTGCACCTGAAGCATCATCAGTGCGTGTGTGTGCATGTGTGTGTGCGTGTGTGTGTGCCTCCACAATGCATGGCAGAGAACATGATGTCCTCTGCCATGCAGGACCCACACTCCCATCAAACCTCTGCTATTGTTGGCTCTCGGGCTGTTACCCAACACCGTGCGCCCTGTAGGTTGTTTTTGGAGCGGAGGCAAATGCTTCTTCTCGGAGTCAGAGCCCCCGCTGGGGTTTGCAGCTGGTCTTTGTTTTAACATGCTCCTCGTGGCAGCAGCTCAGATTTAATTCTCACTGCACCGTGCCTCTGCAGTCTAATAAATGATAATTCAACGGGTGATCGGCCACAAAGCGCCTATAAACTCAAGCTGAGCAGCTCACGCGCAAGCAAAACAAGACCCGAGGGCCAGGAGTGGCCCTGAGCCCTCTCAGTGCGGCCCTTGACGTCCTCACACAAACATCAGCTGAAACTACAGAGTGAAGGCCGAGCGATGCAGGACTGATGAAATCTGCTCAAGAAGCAGAAACTGAGCAGCTAAAAGTGTCAGAAGTAGCTAAAGGCTAGCTAAAAACTGAGAGTACCAAATGTTTAGCAGTCTAAATTAGCACAATGTTAGCTAAAAGCTAAACATCTCAAAAGGTTAGCTAAACGCTTAAAGGAGCAAAAAGCTAGCTAGAAGCTAAAAGTAGCCGAATGATAGCCGTGACCCGGAAAGGAAGAAGTGGGTAAAGATAATGGATAGATAGATAGATAGATAGATAGATAGATAGATAGATAGATAGATAGACAGACAGACAGACAGACAGACAGACAGACAGACAGACAGACAGA